AGCTTTGAAAGCAGCCCTACAGGCTTTGTTGGTTTGTTACTCTTCAGGCTGATGAAAAAGGTTCCTCAGGTCCACCTGGCAGATCAGGTGTAAATTTTCTGCTGCTGTTAGAATAACCACATGCTTTACCTCCCTCCACATGCCTCACGGCTTGGAAATAAAGTTTGTGCAAAAGGCCAAAGCTCTCTCCTGATACCTGTTGGAATCAGGTAGGAAAGCAGATGTTTCTTGATCTCAGGGGGAAGTAATGTACCTGCCCCACTCACCTGCTGCTCCATCGTCCGTGGATGGATGAAAGTCACAAAATCAACTGAGAAGTAACCAAGCACTCCTTTCGATTTACAGGTTTCTCCAATTTTTAAGCAGAGTGAATTAAGAATCGCTGGATCAACCGAACATTGTGGAATGGTAGCGCCAGATGATCGCAGAGGACCGTCAGCATGGAGCTGGTCTCCAGACGACACTATTTTTATCTCGCCTGTTGGCTCTATCAGCATATCCACCGTAAGGTTTGTGACATTTTCCGAGAGCGGGAAGGCTTCTATCACACCACCTAGTAAGAAATGAATTAGCTGTTACGCTAGTAATCAAATTCACATGTGATGCTCTTCAGAGTGCACAGAATGAGACCATCCAGCTCCTACTGCGCTCAGACATTGCGGGGAGGACTGCTATGGAGATACACCAAGTAAATAAACGTAATGTGAGTGGCATCGCTAGAACCCCTCTTAGAAGAGGAAGAAGAGCTCTCATCTACTATAGCACTGTACAGTCCATCCGGTGGCTTTTGAGCTGCAGATGCTTTGCAAGCAGTTCCAACCTGGCTATATCACCTATCCGAATGGAGCAATAGGCTCTTGGGTAGCACATATGAATCCTGGGCTGCCCTACAGCCCAGCTAAATGGGAGGCCCAGAACAGCAGTGAAATGCAATACTGGGACCTCAGGGGGAGCGGTAGCTCCTGCTGTGAGCTAATCTTGGAGATTCCCATCCATACGATGGTCTGAGATGAGTAGTCTGCCTTATGGTAGGAACTTGGTGTGGAGATGGGAAGGCTAGAAAAGCTGACAACACTTCCAGAATGGGTGTCCGTAGGAAAATCAGAAAGAAAACTGGTTGGCATTCTGGATTTGCCTTTTTACTGCATATAATGCTCATTTAGTTAGGATAAACGAATATAGTACCTATTTTTATTCACATATCTTAGCTGGCATTATTTAAAAAAAAATACTTTCAAAGCTTTGACTCACCCTTGTCTCTTCTACAGATAAAGAAATGCGTGAAACATCTATATCTATTTTATACAACACAAAACGATGGCAGGGTGGAATCACCACCCAAATTTATTACCCAACCACAAACACCACATCTTTTCCACCCAACATTTGGCATACAAATATAGGGTGTTAACCTGTCTGTGCAAAGCCCGCTCCCAGATGCACTTATTTGCAGTGATAAGGCGAGGGTTTTATCTGCGCTGCCTCTTGGGGACAAACATGGGCTCACGGCTGAGCTCCAGGCCTGTTGGGTACTGGCCAGCTTTGATCCAAAGGTGCCATGAGTGGGTTTAATGTGGGAAGCCCTGCTGAGGACTCGGCACCATGTGGACAAAGCTCTCCAGCTATCGCATTGGAACTTGTTCATATTCCTTTGGTTGGAGGGCAAGAAAGAGCATGGCAACAGTCTAACGGGGAGCCTGTGCCAATGCGCTGTAAGGGACAATACGGCATTGCATTACCGATCCGCAGCGGCGACATCGCCTGCCTGGAAGGCAAAAACTGGGGAGAAAGCTTAGCTCTTCTCCAAGCCAGCTAAATGTTATGAGCACGTCTGACTTTATGCAGTGTATGTATGCAGCATCAGGGGTTACGTATAGCTCCCTTCCTGGTCCTGGGGGAGGGAAAAGCAAGGCTCGCAGGTGTTTGCTCACCAGCACCTAACAAAGATGAAATATTCTCACATTTACCTACGTGCAAACTCAGTGCTAGCATTCCCTAAAGCCCTTTCACCAAACGTGACAGCCTCCAATACCATAACCCAGGATTAAGGAGTCGGTGCTTACTGGTTCAGAATTGTGCGAGAAACGTAATCTGGGATTAATATGGGTTAAATGCTCGGATAGGACATATGACTGATAGAACAGTTGCCTATGATTCATTCATAAATGAACATTTGAAGCATAATGGAGAGATAAAAGGAGATAAATATTTAAATGGGCCCAAGATTAACAAGAATATGGCATACAATATGGTATAATTACTCCTTACAACACTTAACAGCGACTTTGCAGTCTTATTTACCTTGACTAAGAAATGTTTGGAGGAATTTTTCCCATGTAGGGAATCGTTTCTCATTGACTGGCTGTACGTGCTGTGCTAAAAGGCCCGGCAGCTCCTGGGAGATCTTCACCAAAGCTGGCTCCTGCAGAAACAAATTAAATAGAACCACAAGCAATTTTACTACAGAAATGAAAACTGCTTGTGGGGTGATTAAAAACCAGGCCTCCAACAGGCAAAAAAAAAAAAAAAAAAAAAAATGTGGTTACTGTTTACCCACAGTCAGGAAGCCTTTTTTAATTTTTCTGCTTACTACTCTTCCCTCCCATTGAAAACTGTCCTCCTCTGAAAGACAACCTCCCCCGCTTTGGTACAGCATCTATTTCATTATAATTTATATCAATAATTTGATCTGGCAACTGAAAATGCTAAGCACTTGGTAACTGCTTAGGGATCAATACCAGCGGTCAATAACTCCTACATTGTTTATATTTTGAAACTGAGCGTATTGAAAGAGTCACATATACCAGAAATAGTTTTACTGATTCTATGCTTAAGCTGTTATATCAACCCAAACACCCTTCAGTTATTAAAAAAAAAAAAAAAAAAAAAAAAGGAGGAATAATCAACCAAAAGCGTTCCTAAAGCAGGAGGTATCCTTTTACGCTCTCCAATCTGTAACATAAATTCACCAGTGGATTTGTGCCTCTATCTTTGGTACGACTAATTCAATTAGTCATACTGTAGGAGATAAACTAGCTTCTTCCTAGCTTCAAATTCATTACTATATTATCACACACAGAAAACAACCCCATTAAATACAGAAACTAACTGCATTGCTTTTACTGTTCAAAAACGTCCCAGAAGTACACAAGCATATAAAGTGCAAGGACCCTGACTCTATTGCTTCAGGCTCTTTTTCTTGCTGCTTCATAAGCATTTGCCTGCTTCCCCTGGGCCTCTTCGCTTCTGTTTTACATCCTCTCTCTCCAGCATCCCGTGCTCCAGAAGATGACCAACTGTCCTCTGATCTTGGCAACGTCCTAAGCCACAATCATATTATCTTGAGCTCCGGAGGAACATATGGCTAACATCTAAGAATGGGGAGGGGGCGGGGGGGAATCTATTTTTCCAGACCAGTGAGTTTGAAGAGATGGGCTTTGTCACGAAGCGCATGATGCAACATAACCAAAAATACAACTTCAAAATCAGCTTATTGTGATTTATCCACCAGAATGAGGATGAGGAGGATGGGCCAATGACCATGGTAACAACTTTGCGGATAGGAGCCCCAGCTAGGTCTTGTTCCTGAACGCAGTCTGCCTGGGAGGCTTTGGGAAAGCAACTCTTTCTGCCCGTGCCTCAGCTGTCCAGCCACGAAAGGGGGACAGTTGCCGTCCCTACCCTCACGTAGAATTGAGAAAAAAATGCCTTTAAAAATATTGAGGTGCTTCGATAACGACGCTGGATCTGGGCTACGGGGGCTCCTATCACATACTAAGGAGAAGAGTATGTTGTTGACTTTAAACATTTCAGGAAAAATGTTAAAAATGGGTTTAGTCAGTATATCGATATACTACACAGCACGACCTTAACCTTAGAGCAAAACCAAAGGACTAAGTAAAATGTGAGATCCAAGTTCAGAATTCACCCAGATTCAGGTCTTACGCTGCTCCTCTAAGGAGGAATTTAGGTTTTTGATAACTCAACTGACTCAAACAACAGTGCAGTAAGCAAATATCAGTTGGCCTTGTCCTGGTTTGTATTTGCATTGAAATATTGCTAAGCCAAGAAGTCACAAGATCAGGTGGTTCGTTGCACAGGGAAAATAAACGCAGCTTTGGTGAGAGGATCTGAGCCGTGATGGATGCTATGGAGCTGCTGACCGACAAATCAGTTTGTACCTGTCAGTGCGTTCAGCAATACCTCTGCCACACCGAGTCTCATCCCTGAGATCTAATGACTTGGGGCACTGTGCAATTTAAACAGAAATATAAAAAGAAACAAACAAAAGAAGAGGTATGCAACGGCTGCCTGAAAGCTTTTGATAAATTACTGGGGGAAAAAACCAATAATCCCTGCTGGACGCATAGAAGCATTGGAAAGTGCTGTGACCAAGCTTGTGTAAGCAACATTTAAACTATGGGCATGTGAACTGGGACACGATTTTCCACTGTAACGATTCCGAGGGACATGAGGGCAGCCGGGGCAGCTCCATGGAACGGCGCTGGGGATAGCTGCGTCTCCTTGTAGGCAGAGTTGTTTTCGAGGATCATACATGGCTGTGAAAGAAAGCTCCCTAAACGGGGTGCAAAATCAAGGAGAACTTCCAAACTTTGAAGCGTACCAAGGGGCACACTTGCCTGGCTCACAAATGGAGGCTGCTGGTAAGGCCTCACCTATACATACAGTAACATATGCTCCTACTCTCTGTCCATATGATGGACACTAGACAGGCAAGACTGTGGTGGTAATTCCCCGCCAGACCCAGCGTTGCTTGCTTAAATAAGGTGAAATAGCATTTGAAGGGGACTTGAGCACTGGGTGAACTCAGAATGTCTGCTAGGGCAACGCGGACGCATGGTACACTAGATAGACACTAGACAGGCAAGACTGTGGTGGTAATTCCCCGCCAGACCCAGCGTTGCTTGCTTAAATAAGGTGAAATAGCATTTGAAGGGGACTTGAGCACCGGGTGAACTCAGAACGTCTGCTAGGGCAACGCGGACGCATGGTGCCTGGCTCAGGAGCATCTTGAGGTTCAAAGCACCCTCGGTACCCACTGACTGTGAAGGATGCGTGCATCAAAATCAGTCGCCTTACAGAAAGAAGACGGGGCCTTTAAAGAAATAAGCAATTCAGGAAAATCTGAAAAAACATTCTTGCAAGATCAAACCCAACATAACTGTGCGTTTAACAAGTAGTGCCTAGGTAATCAAGGTGTTCACAGAAGGGAGTCAGGCAACCGCTTTTTAAGGATCAGCACCTGGAATTCTAGTTGAAGGGTTTGGGTTTTTTTTTTTTTGCAATGGTAAGCTCTAAAAAGGCAATAATCCTGATTATAGGGAGTTTTAGTAGGCAAATTCAAGGCCAGATCCAACATTCACTCATGAAGTCAAACCTTTTAAAAGGATCAGTGCTCGGTAGGCTAATTTCATTTAAATTGGACGGTATCTCCAGCAGAGCTTACCCATGTTTTATCTCTTGATGTGGCCCAAACCAATTCAGAATCATAGGCTCAATGGAAACGCGGAGCATTTGTTCAAATCTCTCAGCTGATGTTCCTTAGTACCAGTAAAAAAAGGAGAAGCTCAAACGCTCTTTACGTCATGTAGAAATCTTTAAATTTATCCAAATGTGGTTTGCACCTTTTTATAACAATGAATAAGCATGAACACCAAAACCACACCTTTCCCTCCCTAAATAGAAAACAATTTCTTACCCTTCTGCCAGCTGAATTTTAAAAGGCTTGTTTAGACTGGCAGTTGCAACAGAAAATTAGGACCACACGTGGCATATGTTGAAGGCGCTGGTAGGAAATCTACTCAAGACAGATCAGTCAAAGAAAAGCCCGTTGAGAAGATAAGTAAATAAATAGAAAGAAGAAATAGGTTTAGAAATAGGAAGAAAGACCTGGGGACAGAAAGAGGCTGCAGAGCAGAATGCGTGAGAAAGACCTAGGGCTTTTCAGCTAAAAATCAGATGGAAAGGAAGTTATTTAGACCTCGCAAGCAAATAGAGTGAAAAAAAGTCACTCCAAATAAGTAAAGCTGACTGGGCCAGGGAAGAATGAAACCCGCAGACAGATCCTCAGCAATACAAACTGCCACATCTCTGCTGAAGTCAATGAAGCTACGGCAATTTATGCCACTTCAGTGGCACTACGACAATTCATACCATTTATACAGTACATCCTTTATATTGCGATCAGTGGAGCTCTGATAACTTATTCCAGCTGCCTTGCCGTGAATCGGTCCAGCCTCGCTTTTTCTCCTGTTCTCAGCGACACCAGCAAACACAGCACTATTGGAAGAGCCCAGCGACTGCTGCCTGACTGCCCACATAACTTTCATTATTTCCTATTTTGCAAACTAAACTGATTTGACTTTTTTTTTTTCTAATTCAGATAGGTACGTGCCAGCCAGAACCACAATCTACTGCACCGAACAAAACAATTTGAGAGGTTTATAAAAATCGAAATGTTTTTGGAAGTGATAGACTGAATCCCCTATCTACTTAAAGTTTGCAACCTGATTTAAAGCCCAGGCGTTTAACTGTTAACTGCAAATTTTAAAATTAAAAAGTGCCAATTTTGCCTTCCACAAGCTGGAGAAGTATGTTCTGAGAGAAGGTAACATCATGTAAAACAGCCATCATTACCAAGAAACACAAATGTTTTTCGTATGTAAAATTGCTTTGTAAAATATTTGCTCCATCTGCTGAAAGTAGCAAAGACAATTTTCCCTGATAGCTAATGGCCCATTTCAGCTGTATGGCAAGCGATTCACCGTGGCTGCGACTTGCATTAAGTAGAATGTCGAAAACAGCGCACAGAATTCTCCACTTATGTAGTATTATCTACTCACTGCTTCCCGAGAGCCCGTCCCTCATTATCACGGCCTTCGCTTTGGATCAGCACGCAGGACTAGGGTTACTTTGACTCAAGAGGCTTTTTGTCAAACCGAGGCACATATGCTATGCTTCCATACAAGAGCACAAAACAGCCACTTTCCCTGACTCCAAGAACAAGAAGGTTAGTTCTCTTTCAACTTTCCAGCACTTAAACTGCTGTTCCTTTTTTCACACCACATGGGGCCCTGGTTTTCTCTTTTGGCTCACGCTGTCACTCTGCACGCTGAGGATTTCAATATATAAAGATCAAGCACTTCTTTTAATTCTAAATTCAACTACATACACAAAAGGGGGGGGGAAGCAAAAAATCCCACTGGCCTAGTCAAAAAACCCCTCCCCATTGCTTGTTTTATTGTATATTTGCTACTTGCCATAGCCCTATTGAAAAGCACGTGTTTACGTTGTGCCCTGAACTACTTCAACATCTGCTAACAGACCAATAAAAAATAAATAAACCAGGATTGCTCAGAAAGGGAGATCCTTCCGGTTTCCTCCGAACACTCCAAAACCAGC